TGGAGGAGTGACACCCCTAGAAACACACACACACACACACACACACACACACACACACACACACAGCGAGCTGATCATTTTAAACGTGAAGATCCACACTTACTGAAGCCTCCAGCAGTATCATCCAGTCCTGACGATGAATATAGACGCCCAAGTAAGGAATTAATATTATGAAAATTTATTCATGGCAGCTACTGTACAGGGTGTTTGACTCCGGATTTTGTCACAACTGTTATGATAGAATTGATAATGATCAGGTGAGTAAAGCGGTCACTACTGGCTGTGTGTACCTAACTAACTACTAGCTAACAAACTAACTAACAAACAATCTAATTAACTAAAATATATGTGAATGTCGGCAGCTTAACTCATGAACGGACAAAGTGACAGTTCTCATATTTAGCATGTATGATCACCATGACAGCTCCTAGAGGTTTTATGCTATGTATTTAATTATTGTTAGGGTCATATGGTCGAAGATTAGGTCACAGCTCTGATGAAGGCACCACCTGGATTGACCTACTACCTGTCTCGAGTGATCTGATGATTTCATATTGAAGGAAACATCTTGGATCATGTTAGGTTAGGTTAGGTTTTAGAGCTCAGTGGGGTAATAATATGAAGGAGGTTATGAGTTAGACAATTATTTATATAGTTTAAAGAATAATAATGATGTGCAGTAACTAAAAAAAAAAGAGAGAATTATATTACTACTAAATATTCTTCCGGGATATAATTAAAGGTGTGGCAGACAAGGTGACTTTATCATGATTGTGTTAGACAGGAATTATTATCACCTCACAGCCCACAATCTCTCCTCTCACCTGTTATATCGATCTACGCTACACAACAACCTTTGTCTCCACCACCATTATCAGGACGACTCTTTTCCTTCTGGACTTATGTTGTTCCCAGAGGCATATCATTGTGAACAGTCAATATACGAGCACATATATACACACACACAACTCCTACCACTACTTTCCTGTGTCTCGGAATCAAGTATGACGATCATTCAGCTATGGTACAATGTGATGTGACCTTCGTTGGTGAGCTATGAGGTGACTCCAGAGCACGTGTGGCTGGCTACATCTAGGGCGGCGGCAGCTTCTCTCCGGCGTTGGCGCTTGTCTGCCTGGGTTTGTAGTAGGGCTAGTTCAAAAGTAATGACACCTTCTCGTGTGGTGCTCATCCAAGCGTTACGGTGTGGAGTGATCGTCTCCCAGGTGAGGGGGTCAATTTGACACTTTTTTTAGGTTTGTCTTAAGACTATCCTTATACCTTTTCAGTTGCCCGCCAGCGTTACGTTTACTATTCGTTAGGTGACTGTAAAGTAGCTGCTTTGGCAATCTACTGTCGTCCATGCGGGTAACATGACCAATCCAACGTAGTTGTTCATGGATAATGGTAGCCTCGATGCTCCTAAGTTGGTATCAGCAACAATACTGGCATTTGTTCTCTTGTCTTCCCGGCGGACTCGGAGGATGGAACGTAGACTACGTTGGTGAAAGTTTTCAAGTGCCTTGTGGTGCCTCCTGTATGTGACCCATGTCTCGGTGCCATATAGCAGGGTGGGGAGGACCACTGCTTGATATACATGCAAGTTTAGATAATTTCAGCTCCCTACAGCTGAAGACACGGGTACGTAGTCTGCCAAAGGCTTGAGATGCACATCTGATCCGATGTCGAATCTCTTCATCGATGTCCGCAGTGGTGGACAGGTGAGAGCTAAGACACACACACACACACACACACACACACACACACACACACACACACACACACATATATAAACCTGCCATTTATATTAGTATGGATATTGTAACCTACGCTTATATACATCTATTCTGATAATGTTATATCCTTGGTGCGCTAAAAACACCAACCTCCCTTAATTTGTCTCCATGATCCCATTCTTTAGTCCCTTTAATCCAATTGACCTCCACCCCCATCATAACCCCTCACCCCCCAGATCCTTCAGTTGTTGTTGAGTTTATTGCTATTGCTGTTGTTATAGTTGTGTTTATTATTGTTATTGTTGCTATTATTATTATGACCATTATTACTAGTATCATTTACCCTTTGCTTTGACCCCGGGTAGGCCAAGATCATAGTATAAGTGACGCACCAAAAAAACCAAAACGGTAACGTCTGAGTTTACGATCTAGAAATACATACAAGGATATGCCAAGTTAAAATAATATGGTCTTTAATATGCAGACACTAGTGCTTGGCGCGTGCTTGTGCTTGAATATAAAACAAAAACAAAACACGAGTGGGCTGCCAATGCCCCCCTCTCAACCGTATCTGAGGCGAGGAAACTTGTGAATGGGTTAGCCTGGCGCTCGTCCACACCAACATCGCTGTCAGTGGATTATGATGCGTCTCTCTCTCTCTCTCTCTCTCTCTCTCTCTCTCTCTCTCTCTCTGTTGTGCCAAGGTTTGTATGACTCGTGTGGTGACGCTTCTCCTCCTCCTCCTCCTACTGCATCTGATGACAAACTGGTTTTTATAGTTCTAGTTTTAAATATATTTGAATGGAAGATTATATTCTCTCCTCCAGGGTACTGTAATTTTTGTGTGTGTTTGTCATTCATTGATTTGTTGTAATTCATAATGTCCCTCCCAACTAGCCGTCGCTACTTACACCAGTGATCCAGTGACCCGCGCCAGAAATCAGGTTAAATGGTTCAATTGTAAGGTCAAGCAAACAAGAGAGTGGAAAGGGAAATCTGAACCTTATAGAAGTGATACTCTTGTCCTTGTAACTGATTATCAAGTATTCGTGTTCACTACCACAACAGAGTGTCACGTCTTTGCTTCTGTAACTTATGAAAACAAAAAATTTAGGTCAAAATCTGTTATCAGTTGTTTTAATCCATTCAACTTCATCAATGCTCTTATACGAAAACACAAGCTAAATATTTCTCAGATCTATCAATTTCGTTGCCAAAGAACATAGTCTAGATATAAGAGAAGAGAAAACCTGCAGCCGACCTTCAAACCAAACAAAATACAATATAGTTAACTGGCTTGAGTCCCGGAAAATTTGCATCCATGAGATAAATCAATCTGGAGGCAACCGATCGAGTCTTCTCTTCAATCGCTTGCGTAATCGGATGATGACGTTATAGCATCTCGTCATTTCCTTTCTCTCGGGATACACAAACCTGACACAAGTACCGGTGCGGATAAACCTGACACAAGTACCGGTGCGAATAAACCTGACACAAGTACCGGTGCGAATAAACCTGACACAAGTACCGGTGCGAATAAACCTGACACAAGTACCGGTGCGAATAAACCTGACACAAGTACCGGTGCGAATAAACCTGACACAAGGTAATAAACCGGTGCGGATAAACCTGACACACAAGTACCGGTGCGGATAAACCCTGACCCGGTGACCTAAGTACAGTACCGGTGCGAATAAACCTGACACAAGTACAGTACCGGTGCGAATAAACCTGATAAAGTACCGGTGCGGATAAACCTGACACAAGTACCGGTGCGGATAAACCTGACACAAGTACCGGTGCGAATAAACCTGACACAAGTACAGTACCGGTGCGAATAAACCTGACACAAGTACCGGTGCAGATAAACCTGACACTATATATATATAATTTTTGCCTCAGTCACTAATCACTATATAATGCAGGTATGACGCAGTTGTTGGCTATATTGACTCTTGATGTGAAGTGTACTGGTTGTTGCCGAGTTAGGAGAATTTTGTATCGGTTTTCTTTCAGGAGTACACAAGACTGTCATAACTACCTCAGGAGTACACAAGACTGTCATAACTATCTCAGGAGTACACAAGACTGTCATAACTACCTCAGGAGTACACAAGACTGTCATAACTATCTCAGGAGTACACAAGACTGTCATAACTACCTCAGGAGTACACAAGACTGTCATAACTATCTCAGGAGTACACAAGACTGTCATAACTATCTCAGGAGTACACAAGACTGTCATAACTACCTCAGGAGTACACAAGACTGTCATAACTATCTCAGGAGTACACAAGACTGTCATAACTATCTCAGGAGTACACAAGACTGTCATAACTACCTCAGGAGTACACAAGACTGTCATAACTATCTCAGGAGTACACAAGACTGTCATAACTATCTCAGGAGTACACAAGACTGTCATAACTATCTCAGGAGTACACAAGACTGTCATAACTACCTCAGGAGTACACAAGACTGTCATAACTACCTCAGGAGTACACAAGACTGTCATAACTATCTCAGGAGTACACAAGACTGTCATAACTATCTCAGGAGTACACAAGACTGTCATAACT